GTCAGAAGGACATTAAAATACTACATTGTAAGGACGCAGTTCTTCAGAAAAACAGAGGCGATGTTTGTGAATATCTCCCCCCCACATACGGGGAGAAAAATGTCAAATGCCGCTTTGAGTACAGTGATCAGAGCATGCATAGCAGAAGCATATAGGTCTTCCAAACTTCAAATTCCGGATGGAATTACCGCGCATTCTCTACGCAGTGCTGCGACAAATGCGGCTCTCTACAACAGAGCGTTGGTGGAGGAAGTGTGTAGGGCAGCTACTTGGTCCTCTATATCGACTTTCATTCGACATTACAAAATCAATACCTACGACTCAGCCGATGCAGCTTTTGGGAGGAGAGTCCTGCAGACTATTCTTCCTTCCAATGACGACCCCCCGCCCAACATTTAGGGACACTGCTCTGGGAGGTCCCACAAGATGGCCTCCACCTCAGAGGGAGAATGACCATTGGTAGTCACAGGGAGGGGTCCTTCTCCTCTGAGGATTGGAGGACATCTTGGCCCTCCCGGGTCGTCATCATTCCTTTCCTACTTACCATTTTTTCCCTGTTAAATACATGGCAGCTTACAGTCTGTCACACTATCCTGTTATTCTGTGGTTACCAATCTATTTTTCACTGTTACATTAGTTAACACAGTATGTTCTTGTTATATGTGAGATGTTTTTATAGTTATAGCATTGCTTTTCGGAGTACCACAACTGAGCCTGGGGTGACTCCCACCACAGGAAACAGGAAGTTGTTTTTGGTTCCTGCCTCCCTGATTGACGGATGGGAATCACCCACAAGATGTCCTCCAATCCTCAGAGGAGAAGGACCCCTCACGGTGAGTACCAATGGTCATTCTCTGGGAGCAAAAATTCATATGATCATTTCATGAATATCAGGCACTTCCTTTCATAAGACAGATATGTTTCATATTTTGATTCCCCCCCCTTCAGCCCAAACAATGTTAGCAACATCTGTTTTCTCTTACCATTTTCAGGCAGGCATTGTGAATTGTACAAAGATCCTTGTGTTAACATCAGCTGTCAGAATGGCGGTACTTGCGACAGTGAAGGGCTAAATGCTACGTGTATCTGTGCCCCTGGATTCACAGGCAAGTAAATCGTAACTGCCGTAATATGGATAGTTATTCACCTGAGTATACAAAAGGAGCCGGTTGTCAAGTAAATGCATTACCATTTGCACATTATACTATGTAACTGAAGAACTCAACAATTTTTGTATGAGACATTTCATTTTAAGTTTTAAAAAGTGATACTAATTATATTCATTGTAGTTCTAATAAACACAGTACAAAGCAGGTAAAAGTGTTCTATCAAATGAGCCTGACCATCTGTATCCACATTAATCTTCTTGGTTTAATAGGTTACTGTAATAGATGCACACAGGAATTGTTCTCTCTGTTAACTGAAGCTTGACTGAACTAATATACTGAAACCTAGAGCTTCTTGTTCATAATCATAATAGATTACTTAAATAGTTATTTAGTTTTGAAATGCCTGTGTTTGGGTAATACCCAATCTAGTCCACATTATCCATTGAAAAGTTCATTCTGTCAAAAGCCTTTACAGGCAATATGCCTTGTCTTCTCTTGTGGGATGGCAGCTGTCAGATCAAGAATGCAACTAGTTAATTTGCATCAGGAACAAGATAGTGCATATAAGCAACATTGTTGAAAGCAGAAAAGAAATATCTGCATGGTACTGATTTCTCGTATGATGAGAAATGCACCTTCTGGAATGAGGGCAAGTAATGAAAAATACATCCTGGGGGTTACTTTGGTGACTGCTTCTTTTTCAAAGGAAGGAACACCTACTGGCTGTGTGAATTAACTGTCTCTGGGCCAGAAGGACATCCAGACAGTGAGCCACTTCATCAATAAGCTCACAAAGCTCACAATGGCCCAAAGCTCACAAAGGCCCAAACTGCACATGACTGCTAACTACGCAGCAGCAGCTAGTGGGGAATGGCCTTCCCCTCTCAAAGCGTATCCTGAATGGGTTCAAAATGGTACCGTGGGGGAAGGAAAGGCTCCTGCCTTCCCCCCCCAAGCTATTTTCCTGCATGAAAACTGTGCTGTGGGGGTATTTCACCAATTTTGCTTCTCTGTGTGGAGTATCTGTGCACATGGAACAGCAAAATCAGGGAAATAACTCCACCCAGTGCTGTTTTTTGCACGGGAAAATGGCTTGGGGGGGGAGGTGGGGCTCTGCTTTTTAAAAATTTTTTTTAAAGAAGCCATTCTCCACAGCTGCTGTGTGGCTGTGCAGAACACGAGTTGGCTTTGGGGAACCCAGGCCCAAGTCTTTAAAAACAGTAATGTGTAGTTTGACCCAAAGTTAGCTATTCCTGCTCTTCAGCAAGCGTAATCACTTTCCAAATAGGAAAATATATTAATATCAGGAAAGACATTCATAGGTTATCCTTAGCCAGAGTTCATAAAGGCTACTGTAGCATATATGCTATTGTAAGCCCTACAGTGGTATCTGGAAACATATTGTTAAAATGCATATGCTGATAACATACTAGGATCTTAACATAATGGCTTTTCAAACTATTTACCATTTTTCTCCTTGAGGGTTAGTTTTAACGAGGAAGAAAGAATAAGCCACAGCGTATGGCTTATAGCGTAGCATGCTAAGAACAGGACCTGCAGGGTTTAAAGCAAACACAGAAGAAATCATAGGGAAGTAATGGAAAACAATTGCCACCAGTCACTGCAGTGAGCTCCTTCTATGTTACATCGTCTTCCTATTATTCAGGAAGACGCAAAATGTATTGCAGTGTTCCGTAGGAGATGAACGTCCATGTCATAAATTCTTCATCTAGATTTAATAATAAGGAATAACTGCTGTGATTCTTATACTGCCATGGTGAATTAGATGCATTACGTGCTAGAGAACACTGTATGCTTTCTCAGCACCAGTTAGGAAGTTTTAATATGAACTCTTATTCATGTTGTCTTAGTGTTGTGTGTATAATGTATAGAATTCCTTGCTCCTTTCCCCCCTATGAAATAGGTCTTTTTCATCCTTTGGTTGGGGTTAATCCATGATCTTTATTGCAGATGAAGACTCCTGTAATTTTCCCACAATCACAAAAGTAGATTGTTGTTGTTAATATATTTTAAAGAGTACAGCAAAAGTGTCCTCTACCTGACCCATTCCCCTCCCACACCGTGTTCAGGTTTTGCCCCTTTTTTTGTATAAATTTATTTTGAGATGACTGAACATCATGTTTCTGAATGAATGTAGTTGCTCACACCAATTGGTATAGTTAAGAAGTGACCTAAGCTAGAGTTGACAGCTCTGGGTTGGGAAATACCTGGAGATCTGAGGGGTGGAGCCTGAGGAGGGCGGGGTTTGGAGAGGGGAGGGACTTCAATGGGTTCTAATGCCATAGAGTCCACCTTCCAAAGCAGCCATTTCCCCCAGGTGAACTGAGCTGTATTGCCTGGAGATCAGGTGTAATAACTGGGTGTTTCCAGCTACCACCTGGAGGTTGGCAACCATAAGCTTTGGCAACTGCTCTTGTAAAGATTATTTTAATAATGAATTGGTGATTGTAGTTCATGGAAGCCATAAACTAGAACATCAGTCACTATTTGATATGGAGAGGCAGATTGAATGACATGGTGCAAAGTTTTTATTGCTGCTTCCATCAGAGTGTCATCCTTAAGATGTTCGTAAACTTGAAAAATGTTTGCATGATTGTTCAGTACAAGGTATATTGTTTTCCTGCTGTGATAGATTACATGAGCCCCACTTGCCCTGAATAAGGCCCAGATGTGGTAACAGCTATAGAACCCTCTGCGTAATCAATCACAAAATTTAAATGGAAGACATTTAAATTCTGTTGACTTCGTCTGGGGGCTGATTTATTCCCCCCTCCGGGCTCTGTTTCAGTCTTCAAAAGTTGACTGCTTTGCTGCACGGGTGGGTTTTCCTACATCAGGTTGTATTTATTTCATTTATTCCTTTAGACATTTTTATCCTGCTTTTCTCTCTAAGGGGTACCCAAAGTGACTTTAAAAAATAGCGAAATACAGTCCAAACAAAACCAAGCTTTGGGTCCCCATTTGGGGGGGGGGGAGGCAGGATATAAATGAAGCTAATAAATAAAATGGAACAAACACAATACAATCTAAACATGCACACTAAAGCCACATCATGGGCTGGTTCTAGTTCCATTGAGCCAACTCATGCAAATATGAATATGAGCCAAGGGCCCTCTGAAGCTTGCCAAAAGGCTTGCACCTCTGGCTACACCTAGGCTATCTGCAAATGGAGGAGGAAAAAACGCAGCCCAGATTTTTTCCAGCTGCTTTCACAAAGATGTTCCCTGCTTTGCTCCCTGATGTTTTTTGCATACCATTTCGCTCCTATGCAAACCTTGGATGCCTTTTTCCATTTTCTATAAAACAAAAAATAAGTACATGTTGCAGTGGCAACAGCTGCTTCCAGTATAATGTAAATTGGTCTTCATATGTGGTGATTATCTGCTGTGGGAGTAATATGAGTGCTAAAGTGCTTTAGTGATTTTAGTTGCATTGTGTTGCTAATAGCATATTGATTATTGGTGCCTGAAATAGAAAGGAATGAAGGTATGCTGTTAGAATTCTGTTTGTACAATATAAAACTATCTTCCTTCCATTTTTAAGGTGATGAATGTGATGTCAATATAAATGACTGTGAGAGTAACCCCTGTCATCATGGCGGAATATGCATAGACCAGCCCAATGGGTACACTTGCCATTGTCCACGTGGTTGGGTTGGAGCAAACTGTGAAATACGTACGTACTGGTGTTTTGTTGACATTTTAGCATACTGGTAATGATGGTGTGATACACTAATCATTTCCTTTGAGGCATGAAATTTCCTCTCTTGTTCTGCCGGGACAGATCTCAGAAGCTAAGCAGGACAGACTCTGGCAAGTATTTGGATGAGAGACCATCACAGAACACAGAGAGGCCAGAGGCAGGCTATCTAGCCACTTCTTTGAATGTCCTCCGTGCCCCAGTAGGAGTTGCCAGAAGATGTCATGACTTCCAGGCATGGGCACGCACACACACACAAACACACACAGAAATGCAAAAATACAAAAACAAGAGTTATCTCTTTCTATAACTATTGACTTTAATGGACTTAGAAGGATGCTCCCGTTCATAAGATTCTACTGAGAAAAACTGTTGTCTGCATACAGCCTTAACATCCTGAACATTCATGTGAACCTTATTCAAAGATCCCCCCTAATGAGTCTCTTCTTTATGAAGCTGTGCCTAATATTAGATACTTTTAAAAAAAATGTGTGCCAGAAGCATGAAAAATGTTGCCATGATTTTCCTCATGTAATTTGTTCTTTCAAGGATTACATATTAAGAATGGTGACTTCATTGCCTGTCCAGCTGCCTTTCCTCCAAAGAAAAGCTATGAGAAAGTTTAGTCTGACTTTAATTCAGATGTGTCCTCCTCCTCACATTTATGTGAGAGCTTACGTATTGCATTACTTGCAGTATAGGACATTCTAGATCAAAGTGGTAGGATTTCTGGGTAGCTTGTCAGTGGATTGAACTTTGTCAGTTCTTCAATGAACCACTAAAGACAAAATTGGGCTATAGATGCACAGACAGTGCTTAGCAAGCTATTTTGAATTTGCCGTGTTAATGGACAGAGTCAGGGTACAGGGACAATCTCTGTCCCTCCAGGCTTAACTACTTGAGGTGCAGGACTTTTTAGAGATTTTGCTCACCAAAGTACAAAATATGGCCTATGGGTTACCTTCATCACACATTGGGTGTGTTCAGATGAGGCATTTGCAATGGTATAGGTGCCGGTTGGAATCGGTGTACTTACTGGCACTCACATGGTGAACATCTGCCTTCCGTCCCTAACCGTTGCAAAGGTTTCCAAGTGGTGGTATCCTGAGTGCAACGGTTGTAATAGCTTTACCCCCGTCTGATCACTCTCCAACATTGTAGAGCCACTTCCGCTATGAAGCCCAAGGCTTCCGATTTTTGCCCACCATTTTTTTTTGTTAGGTTGGCAATATGCGCTTGGGCGAAGCTTCGCCCAGTGTTTGTTTAAAAAAGAAAAAGAAAAGGTCCTTAGTTTAAGGTTTTAGAGGACTCTGAGACCTCAGGGAGGCCAGTTTGGTCTTTAAACTTTAAATGTAAGACGGGGTGTTTTGTGCATGCGTGAAGATCGCCATTCTGTGGATGGCTGCCTATGCGCATGGTCAAACTGAGGGTTTTTTAAAAAAAACAACGCGACGCCCGCTGCATGTGAACGGGCATACAGTGATGGGCTCCGCAGACAGGAGGTAAGTGTGATCACGTTTCAGCTGGCATAAACTGCACTGGTTCCAACTGGTACAGTTTATGCCGGCTGAAACGCCCTGTCTGAACACACCCAAAGAAAGATATAAACTACCTTCTCGTGCACCTCATAACACACGTCACCAGTCAGTAGTTTTGCATGCTGTGACCAGCAAGCCTGTGAAAGTCATGCAATGCCCTGGCAGGGAGAACAAGGCTTGGCTGTCTGACCATAAGATTTAAAGTCTGTCAGCTGGGAAAGGAAGGAGGAGGAGCAGTAGCAGAGGGAGAGGCCAAGGAGGCTGACAGCTGCTGTAGAGAGGGGGAGGCTCTCGAAGCTGTGAAAGATGAAGAGGAAGGGTTGCAGAGGCAAGCTGAGGGTGGGGGGGGCGGAGGCTGTGAGGATCCTGAGATTCTGGCAGAGCTAATCCCAGGCTGGGAAGAAGTCGCCAAAAGAGGAGAGACTAAGGTTGATTCTGCACCCATCTGTTTCCTTGCAGTTTTTCCACAGCCACATCAGGAGGTTAATCTCCCTCTACACTGCATGCCACTTTCACTTTCTTTGTTCATCAGGTTTTATGGTACCGTCTGCAAAGACTGATGACCATTCAGGAGGGACTTCACAGTCAGTATGGTGTTGCTCCGGGGTATCTGAATGTGGTTTTGAGCAGCTTCTGATTTGAAGGGAACAATCAAAAGCAGACAACGACACAGTTTCATTGACTTCCATCAGTTCCCTGGCCCCTGTTTCCCCCTCTGTATTTATAATCTCGCCATGAGTTACTTGGCTCAGGTGGCGAATGACCACTGAGGCAAGTACTGACATAGGAAAATCTGCATAACAATGCAGGAGTGAGCATTGAAAACAAAATAGATGGCAAGCTGACACTAGCCAGTGCACAAACCAGGATCCGAGGCAATGCAATGAAAACAGATATTCTGAGGCAAGGGGGAACCGGGTTGAGTGCTGATAAAATGTGGAGCAAATGCCAGATGCAGAATGGATCTGAGCTAGAGGAGGTGCTGCCAGGCAGCAATCGAACTCCATTGCCACAGAACCCATGGAAGGACTTCCTAAAGCAACTTTGAGGACAACAGGGAGAAGGGAGTTGTAACAGGAGAAGGAACTCCTCACTTTGGGAAGGCACAGGGCAGAGGTGTAGGAGAAGGCACAGGCTAAGCACTGTATGAACTCTATAAGTGCATATATGTAATGCAGGTGGCCAGCAAGGATCCTTGCTCTTTACAAACTTAAAGAGTCCCTGGTGTAAGGCCACAGCAAGGAGTGACACATGCTTTGGGGGATTTCCATGCTAGTGTGATCTGCTGCTGATTATGGCTTATGCCGCCCACTATAATATAGACTGCTGTTCATCAGATAGTTATCAACCTGACATGGAGACATGAGGATGTCATGCTGTACATTATGAAAGCTGTTTCTAGCTTCCTCTGCATGGTGAAAGTATGCGTAGATTGTCCTTTAATGATGTCCTGCAGGAAATAAGACTGATACCTAAAACAGGCAAGTTCAAATGAGTGACAGTTTCTTTAGGTGGTTGGCAAGACAGACAAGTGAATTTAATATCCTGAGACTTGTCAGTCATCCTTTAGAAAAGCACTCCATGCAATACCTTTATTATCAATGCATTATTATTTGGCTTAATGGTGTTGTATGAAAAGATACGGATATCTGGAACCAGATACTTTTTATTACACATTGAGGGTGATGTGGTATACATCCCAATTATAAAGCTACAAAGTGCTTAGTCACAGATGTGAAATTCAGAGAACTGGTGGGGTGCAGGACAAAGAGGCACCAGCATATCAGTTCAGTCTTGCCAGACAGAAAGCAGGGCTTTTTTTGTTTGATGATACTTACTGGTACTGAGTACCAGCCCCCTCCCCCCCGCAGGTTGTTACCAGTTTGGTGTAGTGGTTAAGTGCGTGGACTCTAATCTGGGAGAACCGGGTTTGATTCCCCACTCCTCCACTTGCACCTGGCTGGATGACCTTGGGCAAGCTGTAGCTCTGATAAGAGCTGTTCTTGAAAAAGAGCAGTTTCTGTCAAGAGCTCTCTGAGCCCCACCTACCTCACAGGGTGTCTGTTGTGGGGAGGGGAAGGGAAAGGAGTTTGTAAGCCGCTCTGAGACTCCCTTGGATAGTGAAGGGCGGGATATAAATCCAATCTCTTCTTCTTCTTCTTCTACCAAGGCTTGAGGGGGAAATTAGTTTTTTTTTTAAGCACTGATAGAAAGAATAAGGGATAGAAATGAAATGTGTAACTCGGTTCATGCTTGCTCTATGCTCACTCTGAAAGACACTATGCTCACCTCTGAAAGATGTAATGAAAGGTGCAACTGTCCTGAAAGAGCTGAAAATAGAAGACAGTCGTGGCTCGGAAGACCAGCAAACATTGCTAGGCATGCCAGGATGCCTGGAAGGTGGCACCTGGGATGCCTAGCATACACTCCCAGTAGCTTTCTGGACTGAAGCGTAGACAGACAGACCAGAAGCAATAAATGAGTCACATGCTGTCATTCTGAATCCAGGTTTATGAAGAACCATTCTAGAATGGGAAGGATGGATTCATCCTTAATTTACAAAGATCAAATAAGTCCAGGCAGGTTCTTCCGGAGCTTTCCTTACTGAGCCTCGAAATGAACAATCTGCCCCCGCACAGGTGACCTGGAGTTCATATCTGAGCTCATGACTCTTAATACACATCTCTTTGTTATTCATTAAACTATTTGTAAACACATCATGCTTAGATACATCGATTTTATGGTCCACTTACTCAAAGAGTACTTCATTGATAGAATACCTTCTCACTGCTGTTATTAGTCTTCAGTCACTGTCATTTTAGCAAAATAAAAGTATTGCTGAAGTTTAAAAGAAAAACAAGAACAATGAAGTCTATGCTGAGCACACACACACCACATGCACTGGTTTATAGGAAAGTGTTTCAGTTCATAGAACATTTTCCCAAACTGCCAGGAAATGGTTGTGATCTAGCAAAGGGAAATTGCTGAGTAGCAGCACAGAACCTTGCCCCCCTCCAGAATTTTGAATATTCTTATATACAATTTTAGGTCTCATTGGTGTGTTCTCTACTTCTGAATCCCGGTAGCACGCATTTCAGTGCAAAGCCATGGACTATTTTCATTCTTATCTTGCAGAAAGTTACCAGCATGTATTACTTTCATGTACTATGGGGACATTTTGTGGTTTCAGATGACACACTATACTAGTCTGCAGCTAATAATCAAAACATGATTTGTAAATTAGACCCAGTTCTGCATAGAAATGTGTATTACAATGAAAGAAAAGATAATCTAACATTCCCCTCTTCTTTCCACCAACTTTTAGCAGCTGTAGGGATTTCTGTTTCGAAATCTGTAAAACAAAATCAGAAGAATGACAGCCTGCCGTTAACTTGTTGCTATAAAGTTTCACATTCTGAAGAATAAATTCGGGTGGGTAGCCGTGTTGGTCTGAAGCAGCAGAACAAAGTTGGAGTCCAGTGGCACTTTTAGGACCAACAAAGTTCTATCCAAGGTATCTGAAGAAGTGTGCATGCACACAAAAGCCTATGCCTTCAGTAGAACTCTGTCGGTCTTAAAGGTGTCACTGGACTCAAAAATTTGTTCTGAAAAATAAAAATAATTTTTAAGTGAACAGGATAAAACATGGTTTTATTGTACACAGAAAGGAAAGAATAGTCACTGTTGTAGATTTTCCAGGCTGTATATGGCCGTGGTCTTGGCATTGTAGAACCTGACGTTTCGCCAGCTGCTGTGACTGGCATCCTCAGAGGTTACCTGGTGCTGGCGAAACGTCAGGTTCTACAGTGCCAAGACCACGGTCATATACAGCCTGGAAAATCTACAACTAATGAACTCCGGCCGTGAAAGCCTTTGACAACATAATAGTTACTGTATTAGAAAAAGGAGTGAGCAGTGATTCACAAAAGTTCATACCCTGCCACAATTTTTTTTAGTCTTTAAGGTGCTAATGGACTCTTGCTACAGACAGACTAACATGGCTACCCATCTTGTATTAGGATAAGTGAGCAAAACAGGGGAAATGTTATTTTTTAAAAATCTGAAAGATGAAAGTATGATTTTTTTCCCCAAGTCATAACCAGGGGTCATTTTGTAGAAAAAGAGGTGCAGGAGCTCATTAGCATAACTCATTAGCATAACTTATTTGCATATGCCACACCCCCTGACATCACCAGAAGTGTGTCACAAGGCAACACTCACCGCTCAGGCCCCACTGGACTGTTTTGGATTGCTAGCTATTGGGGGGTGGGGGGAACGTGCAGATCTGTCCTAGCAGAGGAGGGAGAGCTTGTACCTGAATAAAACTTGGTCTTAAAGGTGCCACTGGACTGTTTTGGATTGCTAGCTATGGGGGGGGGAACGCACAGATCTGCCCTCACAGAGGAGGGAGGGCTTGTACCTGAAGGCGGGCTGGGGGGGGGGGCTCTGCAACTTACCTGGCTGTTTCTTGCTCCTCATGTCCTGACTGAGGGCTGCTGGGAGCAGGGGGCGGGGCTTGTTGTATGTGCCCACCCCCTGGGCTCCTTATTGCCGGAGCTCCGCTCCTGTGCGCTCCCGCAGGAAATGAGCCCTGGTCATAACTAGCTTATAGCGACCCCTGATGGGGTTTTCAAGGCAAGAGACATTCAGAAGTGGTTTGCCATTACCTGCCTCTATGTAGCAACTCTGGTATTCCTTGGTGGTTTCCCATCCAAAAACTGACCAGGGCCAACCCTGCTTTGCATCTGGTATCTGACAAGATCGGGCTAGCATGGGCTATCCAAATCAGGGCATCATATGATCTGCTTTGTATGAAATGGCTCACAAAAGCTATTCTACATTTCCCCTGCTTTTCTCACACTGAATTTATCTATTAAATATTGTAGCTATGTGGAAATAATATGTGAAATTGTAAATGTAACATTGTAAAAACTGCTGTGAGTGAAACACAGATAAATACGGGACACTGTGCTCATAGATGTCTTTGGGCTGACACCTGGACCAGTTTTAAACTTGTTCTCATTCTGCATAACTGATACAATATTCCGATCTTGTTGCTATTGTTCAAAACTGCATTTCAAAGCTCCTTCCAGAACTGAAACACAAAGCTCACAGCTGGGCTCTTGTGTTCATTAGGAAGCAGTGTACCTTAAAATATTCAGTTCTCCAACCTACTGAATTGGTAAATGCTTTATTTTTAAGGTCACTATGGGGAAAAAAAGAGTATGTGAAAAATGATTTGTTTATATTTTTCACAGTTAACCTGTCTTTTCAGACGATACAAAATATTATCTGACAAAAACAAATCCAAAGAAATGGTAAATCAATTTCTCATTATTATTGATTCATAAAATAAATCTATTACATCAGGAATATTCCATATTACCAGGCTACTACCGGGACATTTCCAGTGCTATCCTAAGCAGAGTTATACCCTTCTAAGCCCATTAGATGTGAACCCATTTGGAAGTAGGTGAGTCAGCCAACACCCATGGACCATATTCAGATGTCATGAAAAATCTCTGCCCATAATTGGCTTGAACGCAGCTTGTTGCTGTACTCCCACACCTTCAATCCCTCGTGTGCAGAGCACAGTTGGAAGCATCCCTGGTTTGGGATTCCTTCAATCAAACTCCAATTTGCCATAACATTCTAGGCATGTTGTATATCATAGCAAGTTAGAATCGGAAAGCTTTCCAAGCTAGGAAGCTTTCAATTGCTTTCAATTGCACACCGTGCCCGGGGCAAAGGGAGAGGAAAGAAGAGCATACAGGCACTGGAACATGCTGTGCTTCATGGCGGTCATGAACAAACAGATTTGTTGTGATGTCTGAAACCATATTTAGGTATGCAAGTCCACAGTCACATGTGCATTTATAACCTATGCAGTGTATTTCTCATGAGGTTAATCTATCACCCACTATCTAGAAAACACAGGCAGAACTTCTTAAATGACTTCTAAGCAAACAGAGAGACTCCAGGGTGCTCAGCAGCTTCAGTAATTTTTCAAGCAATGAACAACAACAAATGTGTGTTCACCTGCAGGCACAACTGCAGCTGGACAGTTTTAATGGCAGAGCATTCATCATTTTGGGCTAGTCAAGGGAGCTTGCTGCTGTGACTTGAACAGGGATTAGTCAGATCTTTCCAGATTGATAAACAGAGGTTCTACTCTTCATAAACTGACATTCTGGTCTGCACAAAATACTTGAAGGGCACTGTTTTGAAAATTGTAGCAGTTATCATTAAAGCAAATATTAATGAAATACTATCTTGAAAGGGTTTTTAGGCTTCAGGAAGACTATCATAATAGAAAATATTAACTAATGTCATGTGCACTGGTAATGTTAACAGTTGGAAAGCAGCATCAAAGCCCATTCCACTAGGGCTCAGGCAGATGAAATGAAGATATGCATGCAGAGATCATGCATTTCTATAAAATGTAAATTCAGACTCCTGCAGCCTCCATTTACCTTAGAGCCATTTTAGCTTTTAGATGCTACACTATTTCATGAAGATTTTTGGTTAGACATTTGGTGGCTCCATCATCTGCTGCACTTACATTCATGGTTTCTAGTGAGTTCCCATTGGTATACAGAGTTACCGACTTACATACTCAGCTTTTCAATTGCTTAGGGAGCACAGACATGCTTGGCATGGGCTTACCTGCACATAAGCAGCATAGCTGGACCTGGGGCTGGTGGGACAAGTGGGGGCAGGCTTAGGAGCAAATGCTACCCTCCATTGTGTGGAAAATACAGTAAGGTGGCCCTTAGTTCACCCTTCTCTGTACCATTAGGATAATCTGACCCAAATAAGAAGTTTAGTAGTAGAAAGGAACAAGAATACATTTGTTTTGCAATAGTATTCCTTCTGGTTTTCTGCTGGATGCTGCTCCACCAAAAGGACAATCAGGAATGTTGAAAGTGAGAATGCTTAAAAATAATGAATACAAATAAATGTGTTTCCCCCCCCCCCCATTCCTTTCAGACCTACAGTGGAAGTCTGGGCACATGGCAGAGAGCTTGACAAACATGCCACGGCATTCATTGTACATCATAATTGGAGCCTTATGTGTAGCATTTGTCCTGATGTTGATCATCCTAATTGTGGGGATCTGCCGCATCAGCCGTATTGAATATCAGGGTTCTTCAAGGCCAGCATATGAGGAATTCTACAACTGCCGGAGCATTGACAGTGAATTCAGTAGTGCCATTGCCTCTATCCGACATGCCAGGTTTGTTGGGGTAAAGGGGAAGGTGGGGAAGGTATGGTATAGTACTTAAAAACTGCAGACAGTAAACCTGTATCTTGACTGTCCCAGTAGAGTTTCTGGGTGAAGGCTCACATGACAGAATGTTTCCCCACAAACAATATTCCTGCTCTTAGAAAATCAGCAATTTAGGAAGAAGAGGTATTTGACCTCTTATTCCCAACCTCTAACTTTGTATGTACAAAGATGTTTTAATGGAATAGTTTGAGGTCAAGTGAGCCCACACCTGTAGATTAAAATGATTCTCCCAAAACACTGCTTTGCTAGTAGAGACAAAGCTCCCTGCCTCTCAACTGTTTGGTTTAAATGGCCCATGAACAGATATGAACCAGGTCAGTTCACAAACCAACTTTTCCATTTGTATGGGTTTGTGGTTCAGCTAGTGGTTCAGCCAAGAACTGTGAATTGAATTGCAAAAATGAGGTTCTTGCCCATCCCTACTCTAGGATGGGATTCATCTATATATCTAATAGCCAACTTGCCCCCGGAGTGCGGATCGCTAGATCCGCGCTCCGGGGGCAGCTGGGGGGCCGGGGGAGGTTTGTGCACACGTGGGCTGGTCCCCACGTGTGCACAAAAAGGGGGGGCACCGGCCTCGCCGCCGCCGCCACCTCGGGGAGATCGAGGGGGGATGGAGGAGACGGAGCTCTTCTCCCCCCCGTGAGTATCGCGGGTCCCCCTCTTGTGTTTTTCTAACAAGGCTATCACTTGAAGGTATACCTCGGTCCACTGTTGTACCAGTTATCAATTTCTGCTGAAGCACTGATCAGGTTCTGGTGGACCAATTTCTGGTGGACCACAGTTTACTAGGATTCTGGTTTAATGAAAAAACAAACATTAGTCTGACCGACCGTGTCACTCCCCACCTGCAAAATGAAATGGAAGAGTCAGGATTGATATGCTGATTGTGTATAATTGTGTATAAGTCCACTTTATGTGAAAGAACTTTGAATCTGTGAGAAACATCAATATGTGTTTGTGATCAATATTTATAATAATATATAACAGAGAGTTTTGAAACAGCTGTTATCAAGGACAAGGTGAATGAGGTATTTGCCTTTTGCACACAAAGCTGAAGGATGCAGGAAAAGTATAACATGACTAAAATAAGTGTTGTGTTATTATGCTTTTTATTTGTGTGTTTATCTTTTCACCAAAACAGCTACTATGGGGTGCAATTTTAGTGAGTTATGAATTAATGTCTGATAGGAGTGGGTCCTTTATTGTTTGTTTTGAGATAACCGTGGGTTGCTACGGTGAATGTGTGTGTGCTACCATTCTGCTGTTTTGTTCACAGTATCCTTTTTTGTTTTTGTCCCCAGGTTTGGAAAGAAATCTCGGCCTGCAATGTATGATGCCACCCCAATTACTTATGAAGATTACAGCCCTGATGACAAACCTTTGGTCACACTGATTAAAACAAAAGATTTGTAACTACTTCAGGTGTCTGGGGGGTTTTTTGGATTATTTTTCAAAAGGAATGGGCTACTGAATTAATTCAAATATTTTTAAGATGAAGAAAGTGTAAGAAATTAAATTGTCAGCTGCTCCAGAATTTTCTGTAGATTATTTAAGAACAAATCTTCTGCAGCTTTTAGTTTGGGAAAAATATTTTAAAAAAATGAATTTGTGAAGTTCATGGTTTACCTTTTAGTGTAATTTCAGCTTTAGAAATTCTAATCTTAACAATAGTGTGTACTTTTACCAAATTTGGATGAACTTCTGTGGTTGTTACAAACAGAAAGCAAAGTGTTAAGCAATGATAAGTTTCTCTTTGACATAACAGTGCCAGCATTCTCAGTAGATTTAGGGGAAAATGTAAAACTTATCCATTACAGAAAATTTAAGTCTGAAATGTTTGTGTTGTGAAAGGAATCTAGTCAAATTTATTATTCCTAAACTGAATGAATTAGCTTTCTCCCTATTTTGTGCTTGGATAACTAACCTACTTCTCTGTTACGTTCCTGCTAAAAGAAACATACTCTTGAGTTGATGTTTGACATTTTTGTAATAGTATTCAAGGTAAGCTTTGTAAATTAATACATAATTGAAGTGCCTATTCAGGCAAACAAGGGGGGTAGATCCTGCTGACTTTGAAGTAAATGGATGATATAATTTCCATTGATTTCATGGTGTTTAGGATCAGGCCTTAATATTGGATATATATATATATATATTTATTTCAAAAGTCAAGGGTTTTTTTAAGTGTGAGTAAACAAAAATTATAATTTGAACTGTTTGTCACCCAAATGTTAATGTATAGTATTATTTTGCTTCAATATTGTGTATTTCCCATAGTGCATCTTATTTATGTGTGTATGTCCCCCCCCCCCGGTGATTGCTTATGTACTTCTAAATTCTTGCTTATTTCAGAGAATATTGAATAAATGTGATCAGTTCACGGTAGTAGCTGATCTTGTTTCGCCCTTAGCTGAAATAAGAGGGTGGGGAATAAATATCTGCTTGACCATGAGTTCACTTGAATCCAAGCCATTTGTCTAAGGGACATTGTATGAACCACCACTGACATCACTGAATCCCATAGGACTGCACTGACCTTCATACACTTGGAACATTTTTCACATTTGATAAAAACAATGTCTGTTTGTCCCTAATAGAGGTAATACAGTGCTTGAATGAGAAGGAGCACTGTACTGATTTGCCCAAATGAAATATCTGGTAATCCTTACAACAACTAAGGGCAATCATTATATTCAGTGATATTACAGATGGAAGTGGGAGGGGAACTGTGAGGAGTTGCTCTCAATGTTATTGCCAAACTGACAGAGAAGGCAAGAGGGGCAATCTCATCTCCTTCCTCCTCCACACCTTACCTTCTCTCCCCTCCCATCCTCATGGCTATTAGTTTATGTGGTCCAGCAGACCCAGGAATCAACAGTCCTGGAGGTCAAGAAGGAAGGAAATTCGGAAAAAATGTGTGGACATCATCACCTTCTGCTGACAGACCACAGGATCCAACCAGAGGTGTGTGTGTGTATCACTAAGAAAACCACTGTTTAAAGTTTTGTCATGATGTCTGAATGTTGCCTACAATAAAACAGAATGTAGTCATAGGAAGATTTACCGGGTGTTGTCTGTCCTGGAACAAAAGCAAGTAGCTTCTTGTGGAAATGCCAAAATTTGAGGAAAAAATTCAAATAATATTGGAAGTACCCTTAATTGTGATTCCACATGTAATCTGCTGTATAATAGAATCTGTGTTCCACCACCCGTCAGTCAATGAGTGAAAACCTCCAGCAAACCATTTATATGAGGTTGTAACGATTCCTTGTTTTTTTTGTGTGTGTGTCTCTTTAAAAGTTTGGTTGCATGGCTTTGATAGATAGACTAGAGTGGTTGGGAGAAGCAAGTGTGGTATGATTGGTGGTTGACAGAGAGGGAGAGGGGTTTTTGGAAGTGAATCTGATTGGATGAGTATGTGAGTCAGTCAGGAGTTTCAGTTAGATGTTGACAGTTGATGTTCAGTTAGACAGTTTGTTCTGTGTTGAAGCAGTTAGAAGTGGACAGCTGTGGTTGTTCAGTGAGAAAGCTGAATGTATAGGAAAAGTAAAGTAATGTTTAAGAGAAGAAAAGTTAAAGGAAAGTCTGAGTGTCATAACAGACTGGAATGAAACAGTGAACATATATGGCATTGAGATAAACAAGTGTTACAAAGTTACATGAAAAGATCCCTGTCAGTGAGGGAAAAGATTGAGTGTGATACCAAAGAAATTGTACATCATTTACACATTACTAGTTACAGTGTACTCTTATTTAGTGGTTATTTCAATAAATCCTATTTTATCCAAGTTGATACCAGCTCTGAATGAAATACTTCCCAGGACCACATAGTTCCTCGTAAGCCTTGAACTCGGTCTACCAAACTAAAAAGAGCAACAGTAAAAGCATAAAGGTTTGGAAATCCTTAAAATTTCCTGGTGGCAGCAGAATCTACCCTGTTAAACAAAATAAAGAGAAATTTTAAAGGGAAACTAGTCCTCCCCAATAAGGAGGACGTCACAGAGGTTTTGTCAAGCATGTGATTAAAGTCCACAACTCAAAGTAAAGGTAAAGGTTTCCCTTGCTTGTGTCAAACTCAGAGTTTCGTTTGCCATGATATTCTTTGTTCTCGTGTTTTCAGTAATGCTTTTGCTGACCCAAAGGGGTATGTGTGTGTGTGTGAGTAAATGTGTGGGAATGTGCTTTGCTAGACGCCTGTAACATTTTTCTAAGGAGCCTCCCGGGAAGAGAAATGTGTCCTTGAAGCCTTTACTGCCAGGAGCGCTGTCATAGATAAAGTAGTGTGAGTTCACAGGTGGGAGGGGGGATGGGCATGCAACGGCTTGGCGGGACGAATTACCAGTATGTTTGGACAGGGCAATGGGGGGCAGTTTGAAGTAGGTATAATATTGGTGTTGGTGCCAATAATAGTTAGACGTTGTGTCAGAAGTTGGTTTATACCTGTCACGACTTCATATCTCAATAAACAAATCTCCTATCCAAAGAGTGTTGTTGAGAGTGAGTTCATATGGGGGTCTGAAAACCAGTCAAATCTGACTCTAGGGGGCGGTGCTCATCTCAAAGGCAAAGTGTAAATCTTTTATCATGTCACAATGTTCTGCTACAGCTGCTAGAAGTATGCAAATAAGCATTCTTCATTATATAGAATAGTGTCTACTTAAACTAAAAAGAGCATTCCAGCCATTTCTCAGCTTTCTGGCTTTTATATAACCTATGTTAAATTACCTTTTAAATCTCTTCCTCATCCTAATTTATCTTTCAGCAAATCAAAGCTTTGACACTTACCATAACCTGGACAGCAACCCAAGAGGCAAATTCTCCATTCTAGGAAAAACTCTCCCAGTTAAAAGAGATGAGGTTACGCAACAATTACAGGAAAGAATGGAAACATGTTTTAAAACCATATTTATAGCCATATACAGTTAAATTAGGGTGGGGGGAACAGCTCAAAAGAAGAGCTTTTTGAGTTGCTTTTTGAGAATGGGCTTTTAACCCTTTTATCCCTTTTTCTTACTTAAAAATCCACTCCTGAGCTTTTTATGGGTGCCCTGTCAAGGGTGGATTTTTTTTTCCAGTAGGAAAAGGGCAAGGGGGGAAAGACACACTCCCTATTCCTACAACTCATGGGAAGTTCTTGCAGCAGTGCTTATCCTCCTTTGGAAGAGATAGCACTGGAGACTGACAGCATTTTTGTATACAGGTAGAACACAGATAGTGGCAAAAGTGTTATCATATATTATATATTCTCCGGTATATATAATTCTATTTTGGTCATGGACTCCCCTGAACATTCCAACATGCTCCAAAATCAGTTCTCTCTCTGAACTGTCATTCAGAGGGTCTCCCTATCCACTGGCTGCTTTGCCTGAGTCCTGCCTCCAACATTCTAAACAGTTTGCTCTTCCTCTCCCCCCCACAGCCAGTCAGAACACAGAGGTCATTTGCATATGTGGCCTGATTCGCCCTTGCCTCGGAACACAGACGTCGTTTGCATATGCGGCCTCACTGGCCTTTCCCTCTAACATTCTAAACAGTTTGCTGTTGATGTTCTGAGGTAAAATAAATTTCCCCTGAGTGTCTGTTGGAGGAAACCATGGTTGCAAATCTCCAGGTGAGGGCTAAAGATCACTCAGAATTACAACTACTTTCCGGATGGCAGAGATCAGTTGCCCTGGAGAAAATGGTGGACTCAGTGTCCTTATACCCTGCTGAGATGGCCCCTGTATGACAGCCAATGTGACGTGGCAGTCAGGGCTTCAGCTATTAAAACAGATGTCCAGATGACCCAGATCAGTTCTCTTGGAGACAATGGCTGCTTTGGGCAGTAGATTCTATGGCATTATACCCTGCTGAGGTCCCTCCCCACCCCAAATCCTGCCCTCCCCAGGCTCTGCCCCTCAAATCTACAGGTATTTCCCAACCCAGAGTTGCAACCATGTAACTGGCTATGGAATCACTTTCCAGACCCTTGGAACCCAGAAAATGTGGCACGGGAGGAGGTGCTTTTCTACCTTAGCTGTGACTTCATAGCCCCAAATTAACATAAGCCAACCTCCAGGCGGCACCTGGAGATCTCCAGCTATTAAAACTGATGTCCAGATGACCAAGACCAGTTCTCCTGGAGACAATGGCTGCTTTGGGCAGTGAACTCTATGGCATTACACCCTGCTGAAGTCCCTCCACCCCCCAACCCCGCCCTCCCCCGGCTCTACCCCTCAAATTTACAGGTATTTCCCAACCCAGAGTTGCAACCATGTAACTGGCTATGGAATCACTTTCCAGACCCTTGGAACCCAGAAGATGTGGCACAGGAGGAGGTGCTTTTCTACCTTAGCTGCCACTGCATAACACCCCCCCCTCCTCACAAAATAAGTCAGAGGTGGAAAGAACCATATCTGTTACCATAAGGCTGT